GATCTCGAGGGAATCGAGAATGGTCGCGTGTATCGCGTTTTCTTATAAGGCTTTTACGTCTAGAAGCAAGGCTGCAGACAAGCGCTTACGAAATTTCTGCTGTTGGACGTATGTGACGAGATCAATTACGTTATCAATAGATAAGCGATCACGTGGAAAATCAGCCGTGGAATTTGTATAAACCTTTTCATGTTCAAGGTACTGCCATTCAAGGCGGTGAAAGATCATACATTCCATTATCTTTCCCGCGCTGCTGGCCGGCGGGGTAGGTCGGTACCAGGTAAGTTCAAGTGCATACTTGTGTGGCTTCGGAAGTGGTAGTAGACGACGTGTCCTTCATTCGTCAGAACACTTCTCTCTTGTCGGGATGCGCTGTACAATCGTAACATCTCTACCAGCTTTGCCATACCCATATTGCTCAGGGCTCGAAATATTGCTCGAAATACCGTCTGGACCCGGTAATGAGAAACGCCTGTATAAGGCCAGTGCCACCTAGGGCTCCCCTATCGTTAAAGGAAAGTCCATGTGGCTGTCACAAGAAGTGGGGACGTCACTTCTGGCCATAATATGTAGACGGACCTTTTGGTCTTCTATCCTTGCACAAAAGTGTCTTGACAATCAATGTTTCGGCCGCTTTGAGAAAGCGCCAAGCGCGGGCATGAAAAATGCTGCTGTTCAGGGATTCATGAAGACCCACTTCACCGTGCTGCAGATGTGAGGTAGGGGCTTGTGGGGGTTCTGTCGGCTGACGAAAATGTCCTCCATCATTCATGAGGCACTAATTGTCCATTAACGAAGCTGATTTTTCTGTTGTATTCTGCTGGCTTCCCTAAAAGGTCGTGGACGGACTTTGTGCTCCAATATCCATGTGTCAGAACAGCGGCGACGAGCTCGCGGTCCCTTTCCGATTTGGCATAAAAAAATCTATACGCGTGGGGCGTAATCGGGATCGTAGGCCTAGTGCATCTTGCATTGTTGCCTCGAATTACTTGCTCTCAGGCCTAGTAGTGATATAATAACTTGCAAAATTAGCGCTGTGCTTCTTGTGTTTTTGTTTTGTGTGCTGTGGTGATAGCACTGGTTACCAGTGATTATGATGGGTCACGCGTGTCGAATTTAGTAGGTTGGGCTTCAGGGGTGAAAGTAAAGGAAAGAAGGAACATAATAGAAAGGAAAGGCGGGATGTTGATCACTATAGAAGGACTGGTATGCTACCCTTTACAGGGGAAAGAGGGAACAGAGCTTTAAAGATTGATAAAAAAGGAGGGGAGAGAGCACGCACACACAGTCACACTTGCTAATAGACGTGCTGTAATGTCTCCTTGCTACCATAGTTGACGCAAAAAGGTTTGTCAGCTATTTGGATTCGAAAAGACAATGACTTTGTGAAAGCCACTCTCTGCCATAAACGGCAAATCAGAGTGACATCATTTCGGCGTCGTCCAGTAAGAGTCTGAAGACGTAAAGTGTTCGGGCAGTAGTGGTGCTGGTCACGCAGCCTACCTGCTGGATTCCTAGTGACTTCTTGTGCGACCACTCGAAATTGGTTGATTGATTGATATGTGGGGTTTAACGTCCCAAAACCACCATTTGATTATGAGAGACGCCGTAGTGGAGGGCTCCGGAAATTTCGACCACCTGGGGTTCTTTAACGTGCACCCAAATCTGAGCACATGGGCCTACAACATTTCCGCCTCCATCGGAAATGCAGCCGCTACAGCCGGGATTTGAACCCGTGACCTGCGGATCAGCAGCCGAGTACCTTAGCCACTAGACCACCGCGGCGGGGCTCTCGAAATTGGTTGCAGCATTGGTCTTCGATAGGGGTATTGTCTCGACCATTTCCCCTCTTGGTGAGCTGATCGAGCAACAATGTAGGCATTTTCATCGCCTATCACGCCGCAGATACTTGGCAGCCACTAAAATGTCACGTGGTGTCCTTCCTGTAATGCAGTGTGGAGGAGATGCCCAACCTCGAAGACCAACTGCTGGCATAGTCCGTAGCGCAGGCCTGACAACATCGGTTGCGAAGCTGTCTCGAATCACTCAAGGCTGACCATCGTTAAGGCTGTTCGCGGTTGAGTGCGTGCAGTGTAGCAGAAAGAGCAGCAAATTTTTTGCAGCTGTCGATCATGTTGGGTAGTCGGTCTTGAAACTGACGGTAATAACCTTCGGTGGCACTGCCACGGCTCCGGACGAAGACTGCAGAGACGTTACCCCATCAGTATAGATATGTAAGTGATCAGCGCCGAAGAATGATAGCTGCAATAGCACTGGTGATGAGAGCTCAGACTTTTTCCTGATTTCCGGTACATTGAAGTTCACATCAGATCGGACGAAGCCCCATAGAGGTATCGCTGGCTTAGTCGTGGGGCTGAAGCCCAACGATTGTGGGCAACACTGTTTGAAATGATTGCACTATAATACGCCCGTGGTCTTTCTTAAAGCAGTGTGGCAAGGTGGTGGTAATGAGCCCACGAAGAATGCCTGACATGAGCTCTCGAGGCTTTCTCTGCATTGTGCATTTGTATAGGTTGTTCCCGTGCAATATAAATAGTCCCGTCAGTCGACGTGCATTTAGCCAAGCCGAAATCTTCTCTCTATCTCCGATTCCATTTTCCTTACTTTTCGGTCTCTCATTATTCCTTTCGCAGTGCATGGCAGCAAACCAGATACTTGCTTTCCGGTAAACCTCCCTGCATTTCTTCATGCCGTCTTTGGCAAGGCAAGACAAACTGTGAGAGCCTGAGCTTTTACAGTCTGTAGAGTCTGTAGAGTCTTACGAGTATCAGTCACTAGGGGCAGACTGTATAACAAAAAAATCGAGAAACAGTGACATGTACAGTTGCAGCATTTCTTCCATCGACATGTCTCAGGTTTTTCCGCACAGAAAGTAAAACAACTGGGGGATGGATGTGAGAACCTGTTTTATGTGACGCACAAGCTGCCTCTAACGGAGGTCTCTGTCTATCAGTATACTCTCTGATTTGTGGCTTTGGGCAAAAGTTATGGTCCACCTTTTAATATAAATGTCTTGGTGCATCATTGGCTTGTGTGAACGCCACTAAAGTACATTTTCCCGCATACTTGCACAGCGCAAGATTACGAGAAGTTACGACACAACTACAGAAGAAGAGACGTGGACAGAAAGAACGCTCTTTCTGTCCTTGTCTTTTCTTCTGTAGTTACGTCTTAACTACTCGTAGTCTTGCACTGTGCAAATATGTTGATTCCCAATCACCAACTAGCCCAAGCATGTCTTAACATTTTTCCGGGGACATTTTTCGTCCTTGTTCGCCGAGGTAGCTCGCTGTCATAGTTAGAGCTTTTTGAAGCCTCGCTCGTATCTGGGGTCGTGTGACCGCTGATGCCCAGACGCATATGCTGTTTACGTATATAGATATCGCGATCTTACAAGGAAAATATTCGAAAAGCTTTAAAGCGCCAGATTGAATAGAGGAGGGCTTAATACTCCGCCCTGAGGAACGCCCTCACATGCTTAGCGCCATGTGGTGGAGAAGTCGTCCGTTGATACAAATAATGATCTTGCTTTCAGGCAGCAAGTAATCCATCATAAAATTCGACCACCCAGGCCAATCATCTCGAGGGAATCGAGAATTCCTGCATGTATCGCGCTTTCTATTAGCCTTTTACGTCTAGAAACAAGGCTGCAGACAAGCGCTTGCGAAATTTCTGCTGTTGGACGTATGTGACGAGATCAATTACGTTATCGATAGATGAGCGATCACGTCGAAAATCAGCCATAGAGTTTGTATAAATCTTTTCATGTTCAAGGTACTACCATTCAAGGCGGTGAAGGATCATCGATTCCATTATCTTTCCCGCGCCGCTGGCCGACGAGGTAGGTCGGTACCAGGCAAGTTCAAGTGCATACTTGTGTGGCTTTGGAAGTGGTACTAGACGACGTGTCTTTCATTCGTCAGAACACTTCCTTCTTGCCGGGATGCACTGTAAAAACGTAACATCTCTACCAGCGCTGCCATGCCCATATTGCTCAGCGCGCGAAATAACGTCTGGACCCTGTGATGAGAAACGCCTATATAAGGCTAGGACCACCTAGGGCTTCTCTCTCTATCGTTAAAGGAAAGCCCATGTGGCTGTCACGAGAAGTGGGGACGTCAATTCTGGCCATAACATGCAGACGAACTCTTGGTCTTTTATCTTTGCACAATAGTGTCTGTGACATCAATGTTTCGCCGCTTTTGAGAAAGCGCCAGGCCGGGAACGGAAAATGCTGTTCAGGAATGCAATGAAGACCGCTCACCGTTCTGCAGATGTGAGTTAGGGGCTTGTGGTGGTTCTGTCGTCTGACAAAATGTCCTCCACCATTCACAGGCTAACTTGTCCATACGAAGCTGATTTTTCTTTTGCATTCTTCTGACTTCTCTAAGATCGTGGACGGACTTTGCGTTCCAATATCTATGTTTAGAATGGCGGCGACGCACTCGCTGTCTTTCAAATTCAGCATAAACATCTATACGCTTGGACGTAATCAGGATCGTACGCGTGGCATCTTGCATTGTGCACTTGATTACTTGCTCTCGCCTAGTGTGAATATAATAACTTGCAAGAATAGCGCTGTGCTTCTGTGTTTTGTTTTTGTGTGCTGTTTTATAGCACTGGTTACCGTGATTATCATGAGTCACATGCAGAAAGTGCAGATTTTAAGCCATTGAAGCCAGTGCACAACACAACATGCCCTTGTGGAATCTCTGATGCTGTCACCACTTTGAAAACAGCTCAACGCAAGATCTGCTGGTATTACTGGCGCATTCAGACTCGTTTATATGAAGCAAATGAGGCATTTTAGAAAAGTAGCTGCTGAATGACAGTGGAGTGTCTACAAAATATTCTTACATAGTTTTTATTGTTTGTTTGTTTGTTCGCTTGTTTGTAAGAAGTAGGCACGTTTTATTGCTCCACTCGGTATAACAACGCGCCAATCCGGACATCAGAGTGCAGGTTCAATTTTTTTTCAGAAGAGCCACTGTATGCGGATAAAGATCCTGGGTGACTGCTACTATTGTGTGTCGGGTCTACCGGTCTCCAGGCCAAGCCACGCCTACAACTGCGTGAAGATGGGCCTACAAATCATCGAGGCCCTACGGTGAGTGACGCTGTGTCTTTTGATTAAAAGTCGGTTTCTTTTTTCACTCTTTTTTATTCGACAGCACTTCTGCCTTACCTACCAATATATCGCGTATGTCAGGAAAGAACGCCAGGCTTCGGCTGAACTGGGGCAAAATGCACAGGCACGGCAACGCAACAGCGTGATTCCGGAATGTCCTGGAAGTATACGAATAATAACGTATGGTATAGTACATTGATCATGTCTAGGAATTGTCTTGGCCCACTCAAAGTTGAATGACCGTGGCTGAATTCAACATTGCTAGAACTTAAGCAACAGCCTATACATCTGTTAACATGACTTAGCAATAGTCAAGCATAAAATTCTAAACTCGGTTGAATGAGACAAGGAAGGAACTGGTGGGAAAGGAGAGTCAAGGATGTTAACCAGTTTTTTTAACGAGGGGTATGCTAAGCTGCACTGGAAACAGGGATGAGGGAGTTTGAAAGATAGAGAAAAAGAGGGAGGAGAGAGCACACACTACAAAAGACAAAGACAAAAACATTAGTTAAGCAATGGCCTAGCACCGCTTAAGGCTTCCCTCCAATGTGCTTTAGCAAAACGTTGCATTGCGGAGTCAAATAATCTCTTATTTTCATCCCCTCTTAATGATGAAAGCTCCACATCTCGACAAATACTTTGATTGATGGTTACACTGTAGAGCCATGTTTACGAGACGAACATGTCTTTTCGGTAACAATGTCTACAATAGTATGAGAACCAGATAGTCGAAAATGGAGGAGGTGCACGCAGTGCACCGGAAGCGTCAAGAGTGAAAGAGACGAAGGAAAAACAGAGAGGAGAGCAGCACGTTGCTTGGAATGCTGCTCTGCAGGATTTATGACCGTGGGTGGCGGCCACGTCGCTACAGATTGCTCCCCCCTTAGAGAGGAAGCTGGTGCGAAGTGTCATCCCAGTGAACGTGGCGCAGAGGTCGTGACGGGAGGAACACTGGCAAGGAGGGGCCCTCGTGTCCAGCGGAGAGAGGCACGGCCAGAAAATTAAGATTGGCATGGCCAGAAAATTAAGATCGGGGGCGCTTCACTGAACGCTGGCTTGAGCCGCTCGAACGCGATTGTAGCACGTGCCCCATTGATGTCGATGACGAAGTTAGCAGGCCAGCACTCTAACAAACGGAAGGGGCCGAGGTAGTGGGGTTGAAGCGGGGCGCACCGAGGGCTGTACCGCACGAACACGTGTGTCTGAGCGATGTACACTGCACGTGGCTGGCTGCGTGTAGGCTGCGACGAATGTGTCGAAAGACGTCGCGCAGCTGGTCGACGTACTCTGTCGCTGTTAGCTGGGTGACACTGCCGCTTTCTTCAAAGCAATGGGCAAGCAGGTGAAGCGAAGTGCCATAAACAAGCTCGGAAGTGGAGCAGGAGAGTTCCTCCTTGAAACAAGATTGAATTCCCAGTAGCGTGATTGGGAGGCGGTCAACGAACCTGTCGAGGCAGCCGTGTGCTGCGAGTGCTGCTTTGAGGTGCCTGTGGAGTGTCTCGACGAGGCCGTTTGTTTGCGGATAGTATGACGCTGTACGCAGCCGGGAAATACCAAGAAGTTTCAGGAGCTCCGAAAAGAGGGAAGATTTGAACTGGCGACCCTGGTCCGATACAATCGTGGTCGCACAGCCAAATCGGGATATTCAGGTAGAAACGAAAACCGCTGCCACGATAGCTGCAGACAAGTCGGCCATAGGAGTCACTTTGGGCCAGCAGGTGAAACGATCTACACATGTCAGAAGGTAGCGCTAGCCTTGACGGGGGGGTAACGGGCCAATGGTGTCAATATGCACAACATCGAAACGTTCGTCGGGTTGCGAGAAGGGCTTTGATGGGGGAACGGGGTACCGTTGAACTTCGGCGCGCTGACATGATGCACACTCATGAACCCAATCTCTGATGTCGGCGTTCGTGCCGGGTCACACAAAGCGTGACGAAACAAGCTTTTGGGAAGCGCGAACTCCGGGGTAAGAAAAGCTGCGATAGGCATGGAATATTTTCTTATGGAAAGGGTCGGTTAGAAATGGTCTGGGGGTGCCCTTGGAGGTGTCACCAATATTTGGCACATCTTTAAAGGTGACGTATTCGAGCTGAAGTGATGTGAACGCTTCGCGTAGATATTCAAGCTCAGTGTCTTTTGATTGGGCTGCAGCCAGATCCTGGAGTTTGAATGGAAAGAATGTTGAGGTGGAGGTTTTGGAGCGACTGTGGGTGATGGCATCCGCGCGACTAAGAGCGTCAGCTGGAGCGTTGTCAACATTGCTGATGTGGCGTATATCAGTTTAAAACTCCGAGATGAAGGCGAGCTGGCACTCCTCGCGCGGTGTGTATAGTGAGTCAGATCGGCCGATTGAATAAATGAGAAATTTGTGATCAGTGAAAATTGTAAAAGAGCGGCCTTCAAGTAGGTGTCGAAAATGGCGCACGGCGAGAAATCTGGCGAGCAACTCACGGCCGAAAACACTGTAGTTTTTTTAGGCAGAGGTAATACGCTTGGAGAAAAAGGCAAGAGGCGGCCAATGATCGTTCACTTTTTGCTAGAGTACGGCCCCAAGTGCAGAAAAGGATGCATTCGTCTTGAGCGAAAAGGGGTAACTAGGATTGTAGTGCGTCAGCAGTGTGGCTTCAGCCGAAACGTTCTTGATGGAGTGGAAAGCTTCTTTCGCAGCGGTGTTCCATGGTAGTGCAGTTTCCGAGGGTTCACCACAGAGCAAATTGTCAAGGGGCTCCAACAGCGTAGCACAGTTCCTAATAAATCGGTGGCAGAAATTTACAAGCCTTAGAAATCGGTGCAGCTTGGTTATTGATGTAGGCTTGGGGAACTCGACGAGTGCTTGCACTTTGTCAGGAAAGGGGCTCATTACGCTGCTGTCCAAGCGATGAACCAGAAAATCAAGAAATGACACTCCGAACTCAATTTTCGCAGTGTTCATAACGATTCTGTTGGCTGACAGGTGCTCGAAAAGTTGACGGAGATGTTGCAAGTGCTCCTCGTGGGATGAGCTTGCCACCAGCAGGTCGTCAACGTAGGCGAACACAAACAGCAGACCACGTATGATCGTGTCAATGAACCACTGGTACGTTTGTGCAGCATTGCGGAGGTCAAATGGCATTCTCGGGAACTCAAACAGGCCAAATTGGGTGGTAATTGCGGTCTTTTGAACATCTTCTGCAGCAACAGGAATTTGGTGAAAGGTTTTGACTGAGTCGATTTTAGAGAACACTGTTGTGCCAGTGGAACCGATGTGAAAGCCTGAATGTTAGGCAGAGGATACAGGTCGGGAATAGTTTTTGCGTTCAGGAAACGGTAGTTTCCGCAGGGTCTCCAGTCACCTGACTTTTTGTTGACGATGTGGAGAGGAGACGCCCAGATGCTCGATGATGGTTGTATTATTTCGAGTTCCAACATATGTTCAAAATCTGCCCTGGCTACTTTGAGCTTATCTCGAGCAAGTCGCCATGGGCGAGCGAAAACAGGTGGACCAGTGGTGATGATATGGGGGCGGACATCATGTTCACGTGTTTTGTCCAGTCAGGTGGTTACGTGTTGTTTGTGAATTCTTGAAGAAGTCCTGCGAAATGGTCATCGGCCAATGTTGTATTTGGGGTGATTATGTTCGAGTCGTGCGAAACAACACCATAGACAGGGAGTAGTGTAGTAGTGTCTAGCAGGCGTTGCCGTTTCACGTCGACTAACAGTCCACGGTGGTTTAAGAAGTCGGCACCAATGAGGGCATGGTACACGTCAGCGAGAAGGAAAACTTAACGAAACACGTGGCGCAAGCCTAGGTTCAGAGTGAGCGACTGCAATTTGTATACGCGAATCTTGCTACCGTTGAGAGCTTGCAGGTAGAAGACTGGGGGGGTATTGTTCGGTCGGATTTTTGAGCCGGAATAATGCTGGCCTCTGCATAAGTGCCCACCAGATACATCTGGCCTGTGATTTTGTCCATAATGTGAAACACGCGACTTTTGGGTTGGGCTTGACCAGTCGTCGCCGTGAATAGTCGGCCTGCCTGTTAGCTTGCCACGAGCAAGGTTGAAGGCAGTGACAAGCATTCTGTCAAAACGGCGATGGTAATATTATATCCCAGGTGGTGTGGGGGACCGAGAGCGTTGTGCGCGTTCATAACGCGGAGAGCTTCGGCTGCGGTTTCGGTGAAGAGGAGTGGTGTAATGGTCCGCGGCACAAACCAGTTGTTCTAGGCGATCACAAAGCGCGTCGATGGGAGAAACAGGCTCAGATGATGTTTGTGGAGATGCACTCACGTTGCTGAATGACGGCGTTTCATTGCACACAAACGGCGTAACCAGCTCCAAGACCTTCTCCGCCGGGCTGCCCAAATCGTTGACATCCAACGTGGACGCAGTGACTAGTACCATTTGCACATTGCCAGGAAGGCGCTCCAGAAACAGTTCTCGCCACAAGCTCTCGTCAGTAGTGGTGGTGAAGCCGCACATGAGTTGGCACATATGACGAAGAAGCTGGCTTGGTGGGCGGTCGCCTAATTTTTCCGCGGACAGCAACTGCTGTATGCGGGAACCCTGTGATTCCTTCGTTCACTCCAGCAGAGCAGCCTTGAGAGTGCTGTACGATGTGGTGGAGTGGAGTCCAGAAAACAGGTCAGATACTTCTTCGGCAGCAGCAGGTGACAGTGCCGAAACAACGATATGGTACTTGCATTGTTCCGTGCGCATGCCAGAAAGCACGAATTGTGACTCAGCTTGGGTGCACCAGATCGAAGACTTGCGCTCCCAGTAAGCTGGTAGTCGGAGAGAGATCGCAGAGACGTCATGATTGGTCGTGCCAGTAGCTTCCGTGTTTAGGTGCGACTCGTTGCTCTGCATGACTCTGCAATAATTCGGCAGTGCCGCGAAAGACTACGGGTCACCACTTTGTTGTAGAGCCAGGTTGTACGAGACGGACACGTCCTTTCGGTAACAACGTCTACTTTATTCGGACAACCAGAGAGTCGA